TGAGCTGTTAGCTCTTGGTCAACATTTTACTCTCATATTAGGAGATTTCAAAGTCATTCTGCATATACTCTAGTGCTTTCGTATATAGGATGCCCTTTGAAGTGCTTCTTCAGAAAACTAAGGCAGAATGCCCTTCAAGTGTTCATTTCCAAAGTGAGTCTAGTATTTACTGGTGCCCGCTGCTGCCACGGTGTGGAGCAGCCTCTGAAACAGCAGAAGAACAAAACCACTCCTCAAGAACAGTAAACTAAGGACTCATATCCATCACAAGAATAAGAGGATTAAGATGATTTCATAATAAAACAGTATCCAGATAATTAAAGACATATATAAATTCAAAATAGTAGCTGGTTCACAACCTTGGAAATGGGCTATGCAAAACAACAAAAAAATAGCAGCCACTTCGAGAAAATGAAACAGATTTATATACACACACATATTTAAATTCTGTTGTGTACATACTAGGTCAAAATCCTGGCTACATTACTACTTGCTGCATGACTTTAGGATAGTTCTTTAGTCTCTATATACATCTCTTGATCTGTAACATGGAATAACTTCTATTTCACAAGGCAGATCTGAGAACTAACTGAAATATTGTACATAAATGTATTATTGTGCCTGGAATAGAAGGCATTTAAGTATTTCTTTTCTTAATGACATAAGATCTTAAAAATTCATGAGGTGTTTGAGCTATTGAACCTTATATTCTACCTTTACACCTTGGAAGTTAATCTATCTAGTTACTTAGTTACTCAATCTAATTCTTAGCAGCATTTGATCCTACTGATAAAAATAACATCAGTGTGATGATTGTAATATTTCATATAAGGTTACTTTTTATAATTGCAATTGCATTTTTAGGATTAAAAAGCAGGGCATAGAGTTGAGGTTAAAAGTATGGATTTATGGGCTAGAACTGTGGCTTAGTGGCAGAGTGCTTCCTCACATGTGTGAGGCACTGGGTTCGATTCTCAGTACCACATAAAAATAAATAAAATTATTGTGTCCATCTACAACTAAAAAAAAAATATATTTTTTAAAAAGTATGGATTTAAAGTCAAAAGTAAGTACAGTTGTATAAGTGCTGGCTTTTAAGTCCAACCTTTTCAGTGCTTCACTAAAACAGCAAGAAAAAAGGAGTCAAATGATTTGACTATGCATAACAAGGCCAGGACAAGAGTAAGGCAAGTGAAGCACTATTGGCATGAAATTTAAGAATACAGCCAGTACTTAAGTGAATCTCTCCTTTTTTTGGGGGGGGGGGGGGGGGGGA